CCTTCAAAAAAGCCATAAAAAATTGGTTTGTGGTGGCTTTTGAGGTCCGGATTTTAGATCATTCCAGATATTGAATGTCCGGATCTCGGACTTTGTACTGTATATATATTCATCTTTCAAAAATAACTTCCATTATGGATTCACACTCTTTAAAATAATTCTACTTTAATAAACTTAGGAGATAATATAATCAATTAATCATATTGTTTAGGAAATAAATTATATATATATATATAGTAAAAAATGTATATTTTCACTATTCAAGTATTCACTGTGACAAGTATTCTTATCTTGTCACATGAACAGGCCTCTGTGGAAAGGGGCTTCTCTGTAAACAAAGCAATTGAAATTGAAAATTTAAGTGACTCATCATACATTTTTCAATGCACAGTATTTGATTACATAAAATTTTCTGGAGGTGTTCTTAATATTGAAATTAATAAAGAAATGAGATCAGCAGCAGCTTCTGCAAGAAGTGGAGTTCATTATTTAGAAGTTCAGTATTTAGAAGAACAAAAAACTTTAACTAAATCAGAAAATTCAAAGAGAAAAAGAAATATTATTGTGGAAGAAATCGATTATATGAAGCAGAAGAAAAAATTTTCTTCAAAGGGACATTAAAGATATATAATGAAGAAGTAGATGCTTTAGCAGATGAAGCTGAGACCAACAGGAACATTGATTGTTTATCAAAGCAAATGAATGTAGAAGAATAGTTAAAGAAAAGGAAATAGACATAAATAAATTAGATGTTAAAATAGCTGAAAAGATTTCAGATTAAAAAAAAGCACAATGTTTTGTATCTTTTATTGTACAGTTTGGTTATTCTAGTATCTTTCAAAAAACCAAGGAAATGAATTGTGTTTACAAATCAGTTATTTTAATCTGCAAAATTCTTACATTGTGCTTATAATATAGTTGACTGTGTTTAAATAAATATCAAATAAGTTAAATAATAATTATGTAATCTCTAAAATAATGACTGTTATTAGTGTAAATACACTTACATGTTTTTCAAGAAATTATGTTCCTAATTTAAGTTATCTACTTCATAACTTGTAGGGAGTTAGTTTAATTTTCAAAATTGTTTTATGGTAAGTATTAAATTGAATTTAATAATAGTGCATAATACACACTTCTGTTAGTTTCTTAAAGTGAAATTACAAACATGAAGTCGGTTGTATGGATAATTGCTTTATTCTATTCATTTTTTTGTTTGCTAATAGGTCCTTAATTTTTTCTTTGATGGTCCTTAAAAGTCCTTAATTTTCATGTAAGGAAATGTGTACGAACCCTGAGCACAACATTTGAACGACCTGTGTAATGTCCGCACCTGCATTTTGGTAATGTAATTTTAGTAAAAAAAGTGCAGATGCTATGTGAGCGTATACGGTAACATAAGCATTCATTTTAACATGAGATTTCAAAAGTGATTATTGTGTAATCATGTGCTAGGTTTAGTTAGTTCTTAGTATTCTGCCATTTGTGATGATCGATCAACGATTATTGATCAATGATCAATGATGAGACATCAATGATTCTCACATGTGAACAGTTATGAAAACCTGAAACTTGCTTTCTTTTATCTGCTAATGAACATTCCTTTTTCCAAAATGGTATTTTCACAGTTTGCTTGAACTCTACTTAACACTAAAACAACTACTCCATCAAAATGATAATTTTTTCCTTTGTTGAAATATGTAGACATTCACTGCCAGTAGTTCTAAAGTGACTTATACAAACAAGCACTAGTGATCATCCATTCACATAAATAACCAGTATTAGAAATTACTTAATTATATGCATGCAACTTAAAGGAAGCAATTTTGCCAACTGTGCTATTCATAATCTTTCACTACAGTACTGTATATTTAATAATTATGTTCATGTGATCTTGTTTATATTAGTTCTGTTTCTATTTGAAAATAATATAATTTATTATTTTTTAGTTTAGTTCTAGTCTTTTTCTTGAATTTGAAGCAATATTATTGGAAAACAGGCTTGTTATGAAAAATCAGGATGTAAGAACATGGTGGAAGACCAGATCTTCATTGGATTTTAGACTTAAAGTAAGTATATTGAGTACATTTTTTTTTTCTTTCTTCTCCTTTAGCCACTAGCATTGGAGTGCTAAAGTTATTGAATACTGTTAGTTTGGTTGAGGCTTTAAATACCAGCGACAGGTGTGGCAGGATTTTTTCCTATCAGGGATGAGCAAATCTCGCGAAAAATCGTAAAAAAAAGTTTGGCGGCAAATAAATTTTCGAAATTTAGAAAACTTAATACACAATTGCTGTTATAATTGTAGTGGCCCTAGCATGAGATAATTATTTTTTATTTCATATATTTGTTCATGTGTTTAATTATTTTATAAAATTAACTTTAATATTTTGTTAATATTCATATTTATATTTCTTTATGCTGAATGGCAAAGTTTCATATTTATATTTAAATTTCTTTATGCTGAATGGCAACTAGTTCTAGTTCTGATTCATGATTGCTAGGTTTTGGTTTCAAAACGTTGCTCGTAGCGTCGCATTTCGATAGCTGGAAAATAAAATGCAATAACTTAGCTATTTGTTTATAATTCATGCTGTTACTAGTCATAAATTAATTTTAAACATTAGTAGCCAAGGCTACATCGTGGTGACCCTGATTAATTTTCGAAATGTCAACAAATGACTCTTCTGAAACTGCTATGAAAGATACGATACAGTCACCGGAGCTTCATAAGGTGAGTGTGAAAATACCTCCTTTTTGGATTGATAAACCGGAAATATGGTTTTTTCAAGTTGAAGCTCAGTTCAAACTTAGAAATATCGTTTCAGAAGAAACGAAATTTAATTATTTAGTTTCACAGCTTGAACCTAAGTTCGTCGAAAATATTTGGGACATTGTAACGAACGATAGTGCCACAAAATATTCGGATGCTAAAATTAGGTTATTACATTTATTCAAAGAAAGTGAAAATGTACGGATTAAACGTTTGATTACTGGTATCGAACTTGGAGACATGAAACCAAGCCAACGTTTGCAGAAGTTGAGATCAGTTGCTACTACAGATGTGTCTGAAAATCTAATCAAAACTTTATGGCTGGAGAAGCTACCTGACTCCATAAAAAATATATTATTAGTTAGTGATGAAGATGTAACCAAGTTAGCGTCTATGGCAGATAAAATTAGTGATATGAATCGGAAACCAGAAGTATTTAGTACTAATGCTCCTTCTGTTCCCGCAAATGATTTGTTGCAAAGAATTACCTTTCTTGAACAAAAAATTGATCAAGTAACCATTCGCTCAAGACGAAGGGACTCGGATTTACGTAATTCACGTTCACGATCTCGAAGCCAACCTCGTAAACGATATGACCCTACTGGCAAATTTTGTTTTTATCACTTTCGTTTTGGAGCAAAATTCATTCTAGAGAAATGCAAGCCTCCGTGTGCTTGGGTAAAAAACGATTTCAAAAACCAGGAAAACTCGAATCTGCAGTAGGTTCAGCGGCAAACGCTGCTGCAGAAAATATGAAGGATTGTCGCAAATTTCGTTTATTCGTTCGTGACCGAAGATCAAATTTGCACTTTCTTATTGATAGCGGAGCTGACGTAAGCATAATTCCTGCTACTTCACAGAATAAATGTAAAACTGAATATAAACTGTATGCAGCTAATGGCACAGATATTTCCACTTATGGCATAAAAACGCTAACTCTTGATTTGGGATTACGTCGTGATTTTCAGTTTCCATTCATAATTGCTGATGTCACAAAAGGTATTTTAGGAGCTGACTTTCTTCACAAATATAAATTGCTTGTCGATATAAATAAGAAAAAATTAATTGATGGCGTAACACAGCTTTGTGTCCAGTGTGATGTCGCTGCTATTTCCAGTGATTACTCAGTAACCACATTAAATAAATCCATAAAAATTTTCGATTTACTGTCGAAATATCCCGAAATTTCTAAACCTAACCTTTTTCCTACACAAATTAAACATGGTGTTACACATTTTATTTCGACTGTTGGTCAACCCGTTTATTCAAAGGCACGACAGCTCGATCCAAAACGCTTAGCTATAGCTAAAGAGGAATTTAAATTTATGCTTGACAATGGAATAATTCGTCCATCAAACTCCCAGTGGTCAAGCCCCTTGCACCTTGTTACGAAAAAGGATGGTTCATATCGTCCTTGCGGAGACTACCGACGATTGAATGCGCAGACGATACCTGATCGATACCCAATTCCTCGCATTGAAGATTTTCATCATATTTTAAGAGGTACAAATATTTTTTCTAAAATTGATTTATTCAAAGCTTATTTTCAAATTCCCATTGCAGAAGAAGACAAATGTAAAACGGCTATCATCACTCCTTTCGGTTTATACGAATTTAATGTAATGAGTTTCGGTTTAAAAAATGCTCCTGCAACGTTCCAAAGATTTATTCACGAAGTCTTTAGAGGATTAGAATTCGTTTTTCCCTATTTAGACGATATACTCATTGCATCCAGTACCCATGAAGAACACGAAAATCACCTTAAATTAGTTTTCGAAAGATTACATACATTTGGGTTAAGAATTAATGTTTCAAAATCTGTCTTTGCTGTTCCCCAAATCGAGTTTCTAGGCTACCTAATTACACCTAAGGGTTCCCGTCCTTTGCCAGAAAGAGTTCAAGCTATTACTAACTACAAACGACCAGAAACAATTCATGAACTTAGAACCTTTCTTGGAATACTTAACTTTTATCGTCGTTATATAAAGGATGCAGCGAAGAATCAAGCATTGTTACATGCGTATCTCAAGGGAGCTAAAAAGAGGGACAAACGTAAAATCGAATGGACTGAAGAAGCTGAAAAACAGTTTGAAACGTGCAAGAATGACCTGGTGAACACGGCACTGTTGTCTTTTCCCAATTCTGAATTACCTCTGGCGTTATTTACAGATGCTTCAGATACGGCGATTGGCTCAGTGTTGCAACAATATGAAAACTCCTCGTGGAAGCCAATAGCATTTTTTTCTAAAAAATTAAGTGATACTCAGCAAAAATATAGCACCTATGATAGAGAACTATTAAGCATATATCTTTCAGTTAGACACTTTAAGCATTATCTAGAAGGAAGAGTATTTACAATTTATACAGATCACAAGCCCTTAATATTCGCCTTTCGTCAAAAACTTGACAAAGCAACACCTAGACATGCTCGCCAACTTCAATACATCTCCCAGGTTTCGACTGATATCAAATATTTAAAAGGTGAGAATAATATTGTGGCGGATACGTTATCTAGAGTTAATGAAATTTCATCGATAGATTATGATAAAATAGCTGATGAACAAACTCAAGATGAAGAACTGAAGAGTTTGCAAACCACTACTTCCTTGAATTTCAAGCAATGTTCTCTACCATCGGGGAAATATTTGTGGTGTGATACATCAACTAAACATGTTCGGCCGTATATTCCTCAGGCTTTCAGAAAACACGTCTTTCAAAGAATTCATGGTTTATCACATCCAGGAATAAAATCGACTATGAAATTAATGACATCAAAATTCATTTGGCCTAACATAAAAAAAGATGTACAGTTGTGGACAAGAACCTGCATTCATTGCCAAAAAGCTAAAATCAATCGGCACACCAAAACAAAATTAGGTGAGTTTGAAGTATCACACAGGAAGATTTTCTGTCATCCATATCGATCTCATAGGACCACTTCCACCATCTAAAGGGAATATTTATTGTCTTACTTGCATAGATAGATTTTCGAATTGGATGGAAGCAATTCCTTTAGAAAATATTTCTGCTGAGAACGTCGCAAGAACCTTTTATAGCAACTGGATTGCGCGTTTCGGAACGCCAAGTAAACTCATTAGTGATCGTGGATCCCAATTTAAAAGTGATACATTACGAGCTTTGTCCAAAATCTGTGGCATCAATTTACAACACACTACTGCCTACCACCCCTCGTGTAATGGCAATGTTGAGCGCCTTCATCGAACATTGAAAACAGCATTAAAAGCCCACAACAACATATCTTGGACGGACACGTTACCAACAGTACTTTTGGGTTTGTAACAGCACTATTCAAGAAGATACCAATCATTCTATTGCGCAAGTAGTTTATGGCCAGAGTCTCAGACTTCCTGGCGAGTTTTTCAGCGAACCAAGTATCCAGACAGCATCGGAGACTTTTGCTAATAAACTCCAGAAACAGATGGAAGTTGTTGGACCGAGACTAATTCGTAAAAATTCATCTGAACAGATATTTGTCCATAAAGACTTAAAAACTTGTTCTCATGTGTTTCAGCGAATAGATCGGATAAAAAAAAACCTTTGGAACCTCCTTATGAAGGACCATTTCCTGTTATTGATCGCAAGGACAAATATTTTACTATTAGCACAAAAGGAAAACATGTTAATGTATCCCTGGATCGCCTGAAACCAGCATATATTTTAGCTGAGGAAAATTCTCAGTTGATACAACCTGACTACAGTAATTTGCAGAGACCGGACTCAAATTCGGATGTGAATCAAAAACCTTCTCGCACAGGCAGAACTATACGTTTACCTGTTAGATTCAAGGACTGACTAAATTATTTTGATAGTGGTTAACACTGCAATACTAGTTACTACCTATTTCTCCATCTTCGTAACGTAACTTAGTTACTGGTGGGGGAGTAGTGTAGTGGCCCAGTTATTGCATGAGAAATAATTATTTTTTATTTCATATATTTGTTCATGTGTTTAATTATTTTATAAAATTAACTTTAATATTTTGTTAATATTCATATTTATATTTCTTTTATGCTGAATGGCAATTTTCTATTTATATTTAAATTTATGCTGAATGGCAGCTAGTTCTAGTTCTGATTCATGATTGCTAGGTTTTGGTTTCAAAACGTTGCTCGTAGCGTCGCATTTCGATAGCTGGAAAATAAAATGCAATAACTTAGCTATTTGTTTATAATTCATGCTGTTACTAGTCATAAATTAATTTTAAACATTAGTAGCCTAGGCTACAAGATCAATGAAATTGCAATTTTATTTTTAAAAGTTCCTTACATTGAGGTT